AGCCCCACTCGGTCCTGCAGCAGAAAGTTGTCTCTCTCACCAGCAGGAGGCGCTCCGAACAAAGAACCACAGATAGAGAGAGAAAAAAAACAGTTAATAAAAGCCAGATGCCCTCACAGCAGCAGAAAAAGAACCCCCACTCCTGCTGCCGTCCCATAAATCACTTTAGACAGGACAAAGGAACTCCAGCAAGAAAAAAAACTTAGAAGCACCCCCACATTGGAATTCAGCCCAATCAGAGCCAAATCAATACACAAAAATAAACAGAAAAAACAAGAAAACCCCACATTTAACATAAAACACATTTAGGACAGACAACACACAGGCCTGTACCCACTTGCTTGAACAGAACTTAAAAAAAACAACAAAAAAAACCCTTGACGTGTCTCCCTTTAACTTCCAGGAACTAGATTGGAGCTTCCACCACCCAACAAATTCATTATCTCCCCGACCTTTTTCATCAGAATTAAACAGACCTTAGGCCTCAAAAGACTCTGCAACCGGGTACTGTATCCGGGCCAGATAACAAAATGTTCAGGCTGAACGGCTCCAAATAACCGCTCCCTACCGCAGCTAACAGGATGACAAAAGACGTCTCTCAGTCGACCCTTCAATTTAACCACAGAGGTGCAGCTAACACACAAACTTCAACTGTGCGCGCACTTACACATAAACCGCCAGAGGACACACACTTAATCTCTCTGCGGCGGGCGACACGTCATAAAAAAATAACTAATAAAGTAGCAAGGTTCAGACACACAGAACAAAACAACACAGACACCAGAAATTACACGGAGACCCAAACGCTGTGGCCACCGACAAACTCAAAAGAACCGCACTGAGCCTCTTAAGGCATAAAATCAAATAAAACAAAGGTAATCACGGCCGTTAAAAACCTCCGTTAATCTGATATTAACCTTTTAAGGCTGAGCAGGCCTGGATCGTGACGCCATTTTGTCGTGTTCTTTGTTCGGTTCTTCAGAGCCTTGTCAGCGAGCTGGACCCTCTCAGTCTCCCCACGTCTGGTGCTGCTCTTCTGGGTTGATGAAAATCAGAGAGCGTCTGCCTGTAAGCTGCTGGATGTTAAAAAAAACCCTTTTGGCAAACACTTGAATGAAGAAAAGGCGATATCTTCAGCTTTAGACAAGGTTTATTGCGAGAGGTAGCTGGATCAGGTCTTAACAGCGTGATGGTAAAAAGGACTCTAAACAAAGGGCGCGCCCCCGCCCTGAAGCGCGCTCCCGTGTCTTAAAGGGGCGGTACATGAAAATACACCACATGAAATACACA